TTGAACCTGAAATTTCTGGATTTGTAAGTCCCAAACCAGATACCAGCAATTTCATATGGTTCAGTCTAACGCCGTCCCCTTTCCCTCACGTGGCCCTTTAGTTACTCATTGATGACACATTTATCAGGATCTGTCTTGTCAACACAAGAGAGGGACCCTCCCTTCGGACAGGGACTACAGTTTGCTTCTCTTTGGGTTTAGCCCTCTCCTTCACAGGCTCCCAGTGCACCTTTGCTGGATAGGATGAAGCAAAGGGAAGGCATTTACTCTCTTTGTCTTCCTTTGCAGCGGTCCACATGTGCAGCGTCTCGGAACACAACTGTGCCCACTTCTGCATCAACACACCCGGCTCATACACCTGCAGGTGCAGGCAGGGGTACATCCTCAACGCGGATCAGAAGACTTGCAGAAGTAAGGCCACTTGGCGGGTGTGTCAGTGCTGCTTGCTCTGTAGCTAGGTGCGTCTTATCCACCCTAGTTCTCTCCCAACCCACTTGCCACCTCCTCAAGGTAGAAACAGTCCCCCCACTCTGTCACCACAGTGCCTAAGCCTGGTGCATAGTAGGCCACTGGGCAGTGTGTGAAAGGGTGGGACGTACTGTCTCAGAAACAGTCCCTCACTTCTGTGGTGCTTCTTGGTGGAGGTGTCTTTCCATCCTGGCTTTGTTAGCTGGGCCCCAAGGAGCTGCTTCTCTGTTTTTATCATCTTCCCAAAGTGTGGCCTCAGAGTGGTATTAACTTCAGCTGGGAGTGATCATGCACAGTCCATCTTAGAGGTGTGCAGGGTCTGGGAGTGATCATGCACAGTCCATCTTAGAGATGTGCAGGGCCTGGCTGCTTCAGTGTTAGGCATTTTATTTTACTCCTAATTTAAAATAGGACAAACAGATACAAAGAATTTATATTGTTCTTCTCTGGCCCGGCTCCCGAAACTAGACAATATACTGGTATTTAAGCCAGCAGAAGGTACCCCAGCCCTTCAAGGACAGAATTAATCATATAATGAGTGTGTGCCCTTCATTATTATTATTATTGTTCTCCTTATGTTGTAAGTGTAACCACTGCATTAACCACCAAAACTGGACTAGGCACACAAGGCCTAGCAGACTGACTGCAAGGTCGTAAACAGCTCCGCTAGGTGGGACGTGTGGTTCATCAATGCAAAACTGTTATTATCCCGCATGGCCGCAATCAAGGACTAATGGGAAGCAATTGGCACACATGGCCGTCATTAGCACTGCATTTACAGAGCCAAACCACGGTTTCCACTTTTCTTCTCACTTTTCCGTTCCGCACTGAGTGGTTGATGGAAGGACCTCCCTGTCCCCGATGTTAGGTCCTATCTGCTTGGCTCTCTGTTCTGGGTCTCCAAAGATGAGAGCCTTGTGCCTGTGGGCTTCTCTGTGAGCCCAGAACTCAGCTGGAGTCATCTTCCTCTGTCGCTGGAGCCTGACCTCTTTCCCCGGGTTCCACAGCAAAACTCAGTCACAGCAAATGCTCACGGGTTAATAAAATGAGCCAGGGGAGCCTGGGGAGGGTGTTCTAGAATCACCCCACACTGTCACCCTGTCCTCTTCAGGTGTGTTCAGCTGTCTTCCCCACTTCCTTTCTACCCTCCCCTCTTTGAGGAGCACAAAATATCCTGTGTCTCATGACCCATGTTTGGCTGGGATCTGGGAAGCTGCCAATGCCCATTTTCCATGTGCTGGCTTAGCCATGCCAGACAAACTCTGACACCAATTGTGGTGGTTTGAAAGAAAATGGCCCCCGAAGGGAGTGGCACTGTTAGGAGGTGTGGCCTTGTTGGAGGAAGTGTGTCACTGTGGGGGCAGGCTTCGAGGTCACTTTTGCTCAAGCCTCCCTCAGTGTGACTTTCAGTTGACTTCCTGTTGCCTGCAAGATGTAGGACTCTCAACTCCAGCACCACATCTGCTTGCAGGCCGTCATGTTCCCTGTCATGACGATAATGGACTGAACCTCCGAAACTGTAAGCCAGCCACCCCAATTAAATGTTTTCTTTATGAGTTGCCGTGGTCATGGTGTCTCTTCACAGCAATAGAAACCTTAGCTAAGACACAAATAAATAGAGAGAGAAGGAAGGAAGAAAAGAAGGAAGCAAGGATGCAAGTTCTCCTTCCCTCCGTCTCATCAGCATCCTGTCAGTCCTGCCTGGCCCGGGGTAGGTCCTGCTGTCCTCACCTCCAGCCTTTGGGAAGTGTGCCTAGCCTTGGGGAAAAAGGAAGGAGCTGAGGCAGAGCTCTGCCCAGGGCCGCAGCATCCAAGAGCTTGAAGCAGGAACTCCCTGGGCTTTAAACAAACAATTAGGCGATGGAGTAGGGACTTCCCAGGTAAAGGAGGGACAGGAAGTCCAGGAGTGACTCAGAAAGCAACTCCCAGAGTCCTCAGAGGCTCGGACTCTGTGAGTCTGGGTTTTCTCTTTGTTCTTTATCCCCCCTCCCCCTTTGGTTTTTCAGAACAGGGTTTCTCTGTGTAACAGCCCTGGCTGCCCTGGAACTTGCTCTGTAGACCAGGCTGGCCTCGAACTCAAAGATCTACCTGCCTCTGCCTCCTGAGTGCTGGGATTAAAGGTGTGTGCTGACACTGTTCTCTTTGTTCTTTTTTACAAAATGATTATTTATTTTATTTTATTTTATGTGTATGGGTGTTTTACCTACATGAATGTCTGTGCACCATATGCATGCATGCAGTACCTGTGGAGGCCAGAAGAGGGCATCAGATCCTCTGGAACTGAAGTTACAAATAGTTGTGAGCTACCACATGGATTCTGGGAGCCAAACTTGGGTCCTCTGCAAGAGCAACAAGTACTCTTAATGCTGAACCATCTCTTCAGCTTCCACTTCCTCCTCGCATCCCCAAAACTTACTTTATTTGTAATTATAGGTATATCCATGTCATAGAAGCTAAAGGTATTATTTCCCCCTATGAGCTGTAGTTACAGGTGGTTGTAAGCTACCTGATATGGGTCCTGGGAATTGAACTCAGGTGTTCTGCAAGATCTGTACATGTTCTTAACCTCTAAATGACCTCTCCAGCCTCTTTTCTTTTTTGAAACACGGTTTCACTGTGTGAGTGAAGCTAGAACTCCATCCTCCTGCCTGGGTGCTGGGATTGCTCCATCCCCCTGAGTACTGGGATTACAGGTTTGCATCACTATGTCTGGCTTCAGGTCTAGAGTTTCAGAGAGCTCTGCTCTGTTGCTGTTGCCCCTCAAGGTCCTATAACTTGGGCAGTGCAGGCCTAAGAAAAGTGGGGGAGCTGACATGTGGCTCAGCCTTGTCCTCTGCCTAGGCCGTAGCTGCTCTGAGGCTCTCCCCATCAGAACACTAGAGGTAAATGCACACCCTTGGTCTAGCAAGAGCAGATCCAGCTGGCTCAACTGCATTTCTGAAATGGGGCTTGTGAGACCAACAGGGCCACTATAGTCCTTAGGTTTTATTTTGGATCCGGACATTATAATCTTCTGGCTGTGACTTCCTCAACCATACCTGCTTACTTAAACTCCTTGATGCTCAATTTCCTCACTTACGACTGGGACCGATGGTCACAAGTTCGGACTTAACTCTTTGACAGATCAGCGTTAGCCCCTGTGCTCGGTCTCTAGGATAATAGAAGCTGTGCCAGCGCAAAGCTGAGTCCCAGTGACCCCTGTTTACACCCTGCCTCCCTGCCGACACCGGTACAACTTGCCCGGGCCTGGGGTGAAATGAAACACAGCTATGTTCCATTTTTATTATCCTGTTCTGAATGTAGCTGGATAATCTCCCGGTTAAAAAGGAACGTGGCTTGTGCCTCTTTCCCGAAGGACCTCGTGTTCTCCCAGAAGTGCCTGCTGTTCACTCTTTCATGTGCTCGCCCGTGGGTCCAATTGTCTTTTTTGTCTTGTCACAAGTGTTTGGACATAGAAACATACTAGGTCGAGTGCAAGATACTAGAAACCAAACCATGATGAGAGAGCCAATGCTACTTCTGTTTGGAGCTTGAGAGAATCAAGTAAACTCTGTAATTGCAGTCGACAACCGGTGCGGCCCTTGCCCAGCTCTGTGCTCAGGACATGAGGTCAAACCTAACCCCTGCCACTCTTCAGGTGTTTGACATGTCTCAGGAGCTCCCTGAGCTTTGTCTGTTGCCTTGTGTAACTGTCACAACGAGTTCTTAAGTAGGTTTCATCGCTGTCATTGTACAGAGGAGGAAAACAAGGGACGAAAACATCAGACAGTTTAGAAAATGCAGCCAAACCCAGATCCAAATGGTGTTGTGTTCAGCTCTTAGCCACTGTGGTGTTACATGGTCCTTGAGAGGCCCTAGAGGACTGCAGGCAGAGATCCCCAAGCCCAGGCCTGACAGGGCTCGTGACCCGCTGATTGTGAGGGGGCTCAGAGCTAAGTCCCCGGCTAACGTCCCACTGACTGTTGCTTCCACACTATTGGCTGTATGACTGTCAGAACACAAAATGTGGGTGGGCCCCTGAGGCCACTGCCTTCCCACGCATACACACCTACAAGGAGGCTTGTAAGGTATACTATCCTGTCAACTTTCTAGCCATACTGTGCTTTTGTGGAGAGGGGAGACAGGCACAGTTGATCCATAGATTCTCAGAGTGGTCACAGATGTTGGTCTCAAACTTGTAGCTCCCTCCCTGTGCAACCCCAGAATTCTATCCCTGCAGCAGACTTTCTTGGACTGCCAGCCCCCAAATCCTGACACGGAGACTTATTATTAATTATGAATGTTCAGCCTTAGCTTAGTGTTGTTTCTAGCTAGCTTTTTTCTTTAACTTAAATTTACCCATTTCAGCCGGGCGGTGGTGGCGCACGCCTTTAATCCCAGCACTCGGGAGGCAGAGGCAGGCGGATCTCTGTGAGTTCGAGGCCAGCCTGGTCTACAGAGCGAGATCCAGGAAAGGCGCAAAGCTACACAGAGAAACCCTGTCTCGAAAAACCAAAAAAAAAAAAAAAAAAAAAAAATTTACCCATTTCTATTCATCTATGTGCTGCCCCAGGCTTGTTTACCTCATTTAAGTGCTGTTCATCCTGCTTTCCTGTTTCCTCCATGTCTGGCTGGCCCCTGCCTGGTGGCTGGCCCACGGCTGCTCCCTGGTGTCTCTTTTTCTTTCTCCCCTTGAGCCTAAATTCCTCCTCCAACTTATTCTCCCTGAATGCAAGTTCCACCTATACCTCCTCTACCTAGCTACTGGCTGTCCAGCTTCTTAATTGGCCAATCAGGTGCCTCAGGCAGGCAAGGTAAAACAGCAACACACCTTTACATAGTTTAAACAAATGCAGCATAAACAAAAGCAACACATCTTTACATAGTTAAACAATTATTCTGCAACACAAACAAATACATCTTTACATAGTTAAACAAATATTCTATTCCACAACAAATCCCCGTTGGTGTTCAGATGGGAACTGGCTCTGGGAAACAGATCACTTACTGCGAAGCAGCTGGATCCTAATCTAGACACCCCGTATCTGTAGGAGAGCTGAAACTTTGTTCTCTGTCACTCATTTCCACCTTTGATCTTGTTCTGAGATCTGAAGCCAGATGAACACCCGCTCAGGTACGGAAGACTCTTTCCACCCGCTCCGCCCACACCCACTAATGCCATTCATCATCTATTGAATACCAGGGACTGCAAAGTGCCCTTCCATTCAAACTAGATGCAGTGCATGAGCCTCGCCTCTGAGTCCCACTCACGGGGTGCACTGGAGGTCCATATTACCGATTCTTTCTGCCTCTCAACATTGTCGTGTGCGACTCTTACAGATGTGTTAGCACAGTGCCAGAGCAGTGAACATTGAAGCGGGAAAAAACCTCACGCGAGTTCTTCACACGCCCGCATCCCTTCACCATCTCCCTTTGAATTACTTTTCAGACCCTCCCCCATTTGGGTTTTCAGAGACAAGGTCTCTCTGTGTAGTCCTCCCTGCTGCCCTGGAACTCAACTCTGTAGTCTAGGCTGGCCTCAAACTCGTGGCGGTCTCCCTTTCTCTGCCTCTTGAGTATTGGTGAAATTATCAAGGCCACTCCACATAGTTAAAAGGGAGGTTTATTTTGTGGGGTAACTTACAAGTGAATGGATAGTTGACAGAGTCTGGGAAAGGTGTGGCGCAGTCCGGCGGTGTTCTCTGGAGAGCTCTGCTCGGTCTACCTCCAGCGTCCAGGGTCCAGGAACCAAGAGAGCCCATGCATCAGTATCTCAGATCTTTAGGGTCCTCTCTTGGCCCCGCCTTGTAGGCGTGACAGTTACTGAAGCCTCAATGGGGGTTGCAACTTCCAGATCAAAGCTGGAATGGCTACCCACTACACCTGAGCGCTGGGATTACAGGTGTGTGCCACCACACCCAACTTAATTATTTTAAATTTTAAATTATTTAATTATTTTATGTGTATGGGTGTTTTGGTCACAAGTATATCTGTGCACCACATGTGTGCCATACCCATGGAGGCCAGAAGAGGACATTGGATTCCCTGGTACTGGAGTTACAAATGGTTGTGAGCTGCTGTGTGGGTGCTGGGAATCTAACCTAGATCTCTAGAAGAGTGACCACTGTTCTTAACTCCTGAGACATCTCTCCAGCACCCCCAATCCTGACTTATTTTTTTTTTTATGGTGAAAAAAAATGTATACTTAGAATTAGCCAGCTGGACTCACTTTAGATGATCCCAATTTTGTTGGCAACATCTAGAACATTATAATCTGGAGCCAAGTGAACACACACCCTCTCTCCATCAGGCCTTATGAGGGTGTTGACTTTGGCCACATCAGTGTCAGAGTTTCTTCACAGCGTGTTTGATCTGGTGTTTGTTAGCCTTGACATCCACAATGAGCACAAGTGTGTTGTTATCTTCTGTCTTCTTCATGGATGACTCAGTGGTCGGTGGGACTGTGATGATGGCATAGTGGTCAAGCTTGTTTCTCCTGGGCTCATTCTTTCAAGGGTATTTGGGCTGCTCCGGAGCTGCAGGGTTGGGCTGTCAGAAGGTGGGTGATGTGTGGATCTTCTTTTTATGACTGTGGACACCTTTCAGCACTGCCTTCTTGGCTTTCAAAGCCTTGGCTTTGGCTTTGGGAGGGGCAGGAGTTTCCCCCTTCACTTTTGGTGCCATCTTGGTGAAAAGAGTTGCCTATGCGACTAAAAATTTTAAAGAAAAACTTTCCTTCCTTTTTGGATCATTTATTTTATGTGGAAGCTAATGAAAAGGCAATGTTTATAAAACTTCATTTGGCAAAAAATATAAACTTTGTATATGGATTTGCTTTTGTTTCTGTCTCAGGACCCATACCAAATGCATTATGTTGCTCTTATTCTTGAGAAATGTTCCTGACACTTTTTTTCCAGGCTACAGAAGTGACTCAATACCTTTATGTTAAAGTGTAAAGAAAGAACATGGCCCAGAAAAAAACTGTAGAAGGAATCCTATAGCCATCCCCTTTAGATGCAAAAGCTCTCTCTCTCTCTCTCTCTCTCTCTCTCTCTCTCTCTCTCTCTCTCTCTCTCTCTCTCTCTCTCTTATGTGGAGGTGTGGTGTGTGGTGCATCTTCATATGTGTGGAGTGCACTCACCTGTGCATGTGGAGGCCGGAGCTCTCCACCTAGACTTTTCACACAGGACCTCTCTCTGGGCCTGAAGCTCCTTGATTGGCTAGATCTGCTGGCCAGGGAGCCTCCGGCACTGGAATTACAGGCTCACCCCCATGTCTGGTTTGTACCTGGATGCTGGGCATCTGAACTGAGGTCTCATACTTCTGCAGCAAACAGTTTATCCACTGAGCCATATTCCCAGTCTAAGATGCAAAAATTCAGGCTGGAGAGATGGCTCAGAGGTTAGGAGCACTGACTCCTCTTCCAGAGGTCCTGAGTTCAATTCCCAGCAACCACATGGTGGCTCACAACCATCTGTAATGAGATCTGGTGCCCTCTTCTGGCCTGCAGTCACACATGCTGTATACATAAAATAAATAAATAAATCTAAAAAAAAAAGATGCAAAAATTCTTAACAAAATTTTTGCAAGTAGAACCCAACCATACTATATGTAAAAGAGAAAAATGTCAAGAGCAAACATGGTTTAGCCCATCAATCAAAGTTGGCTTAACATTCATATGTAATCAATATAATTCATTGTGTTAATACACTAGTAAAGAAAAAGAAATGATCTTAGTAGATGCAGAGAGGGTATTAATAATATCAAAATCCATTCCTAACAAAACACTCAGCAAAAGGGGAAATGGCTTGACCCAATAAACAGTAACTCCAGGAAAAACTACAGTTGCCATTGTGTCCCAGGATGAGAAGCTAAGTTCCTACGTAAGATGTTAACTGAGGAATACAGTGATTTTCACAGCATGGCATTGAGGGCCTAACTAGTGTAATAAGGAAAGAAGATGAATAGAAGCCACACAGATTAGAAAGGAATAATAAAGCTATCTTTACTAAATTCTGTGATTGCCTATGTAGAAAAGCTAACTGAGTCTTCCCCTCAAAGCTACTAAAAGTAGTAAGTTTAGTAAGATCACAAGATTAAAATGTCTACTGAATTACTTTATTATATTTCTGTACACTAGCAACAAAAATCCATATCTTAAAATACCACCTAAATTAGAACAAAATATAAGTTAGGGGCAAATGTTTCAAATGAGCATCATTTCCACACTGAAAAGTGTAAGAGGTTTCTGAGACGAACTAAAGACCTACGTAAGTGGAAGAACAGATTTACCATGAGTTATGATATTCAGTATGGCTGAGATGTTAATTCTTTCCAAGTTAATGTACAAATTCAAAGTGATTCCCATCAGGACCCTTGTCAACTTACCTTTTTAGAAATATACTTGGTTTCAAAGTGTATACAAAAATGTGTAAACCTAAGAGTCAAAAAGTCCATTCTCATTTTTCCTGACAGTCACAGTTCTATGAAGTACTCATGACACTGAACTTAGCAAATACTGAATCTCTGTTCTAGGGGGAAAGTAGGGTGCAATCCTGTGAGCTCCTGATCGTAGCATTCATCGATAAACGCAAAACCTTCTTTTCCCGCCTTCCTTCCTTCCTCCCTCCCTCCCTCCCTCCCTTCCTTCCTTCCTTCTTTTCTTTATTTGCTTATTTCTTTCTTCCTTCATTCCTTCTTCAGCTGAGAGCGAATGTTTTGGGGAACTTGGTATTTTCCATACTTCACAATGTGTCTATGAATAGTAGAAAATGACAAAGTATCAATTTGGAGATATAAGTAAATTTTTAGCAAGTAGGTGAATTCACAAATATATAATCTGTGAATAAAGTGCATTTGATTAAAACTCTGAAAAAGAAAAACAGAATTGTTGGTTTGAAGCTACCTGGCTTTAGGACTATTTAAAAAGCAGAGTATAATCAATAAATATAATACAATCAAGACTAGTCTTGTTTTTTTTAATTTTACCATGCAACAAAACCTTTATTTTAAGATAATGTAGTCTTGATGTAAAGATATACATTTAGGCATTTGGAACAGAATATACAGTGCATGAATAATTCTTGATGCATATGATGAAATGATTTTTGAGGAGGGCATGAAAGCAATCCAATGAGGAAATAATATGTTTTTTAAAAGTTACAGCAAAAATTGGATATATACACACATATATATGTATATAATATCTCGTCATTACCCCATACCATGAAGACAAACAATTCAAAGTGGATTTCAAGAAAAACATAAGAAATACCATCAAATATCCAGGTGAAAATACAGGAGAATCTTGGTGACCCCAGGTTTGGCAAGAATTTCTTAAGGCATTAAAAGAAAAAAATCAATAAGCTATCAAAATTAAGACATCTGATCTTTGAAATATACTTTGAAAATATATATATATAAAGAAAAGGCAAACTAGACTAGGATAAAATATTTTAAAAAATATCCTACAAAGAATTTCAGAATACATAAAAGAGACAAAACAACCCAATAAAAATACACAAGAGATTTGAGTAGACATGGAAGCAAGGAAGACTCAGAGGTGAATGTTTGTGTAGTGTGTGTAAGACTTGGGTTCACCCCAGCACTGAATACAACAAGGAAGACTCAGAGGTGAATGTTTGTGTAGTGTGTGTAAGACCTGGGAAGACTCAGAGGTGAATGTTTGTGTAGTGTGTGTAAGACCTGGGAAGACTCAGAGGTGAATGTTTGTGTAGTCTGTGTAAGACCTGGGTTCACCCCAGCACTGAAAACACAAGGAAGGCAAAGGATGATGAAGAGGCTCATGAGAGGATGCTCATCAGAGTCAGCAGGAAATGCAAACTCAAACCGCAGTGAAGTTCCATTACATACTCGCTAGACTAGATACATTTTTAAAAGACCTTGTTTTTATTTTTATTTGTGTGTGTGCATACCCTCAGAGACCAGAAAAGGGTGTTTGATCCCCTAAAGCTGGAGTTACAGACAGTTGTAAGCCACCCAACATAGGTACTGGAAACTGAGCCCATTTCTCTGCAAGAACAACAAGCACTCCTAACTGCTGAGCCATCTCTCTAGCCCTAGACTTTAAGAGTGACTGACACAGTCAAAACTGGAACTCTCATACACTGTGTCTTAGTTACTTTCCTATTGCTGTGATAAAACACCACAACCAAAGCAACTTACTTAGAAGAGTTTATTGGGGGCTTACAGTTTCAGAGGGTCAGTTGGAGTCCATAGCCATCATGTTGGGGAGCATGACAGCAAACAGGCAGGCAATGGAGCATTAGCTGAGAGCTTATAACTTGATTCACAAGCACGAGGCAGAGAGGTAACTGGGGATGACTTGGGCTTTTGAAACCTCAAAGCCAGCTCCCAGTGACACACTTCATCCAACAAGGCCACACCTCCTAATCCTTCCCAAACAGTTCCACCAACTGGGGACCAAGCATTCAAATATATGAATCTATGGGGGCCATTCTTATTCAGACCACCACATACTGCTGGTAAGAATGTGAAATTTCCAGTTCTACCATTTTGGAAATTGTTTTAGCAATATTTTGCTAGCATGGATGTGTACCTAATATGACCCTACCATTCCACTTTGATATTTCCCCAAAGAAGTGAGTGATGTCTAAAGATTTGGACACAAACATTCACACCCACTTTTCTTGTAATAATCCTACACTGACAGCCATTCACATGTTCCTTATTGGGTGAGTGTACAAACACTGTGCTCAGGCACACACTATAATACTACACAGCGACAAGAAATGAATTCCACAGGCAGTAGCCAGTGTATCTTGGTATAACCTTGCTATATGAAAGGAACTTGATGTTAAATGGAATACTTGCTGTGTAATTCCATGTCTACAGAATTTTAGAAAATGTCATCTTATCCATACTGACAGAGGGCAGATCAGTATTTGCCCTGGGACCAAGAGGAGGGGTTACAGGATGAATAAAGAATTTTGGAAGTGATGATTATGTCTGCTATCTTGAGTGTGCTGATAATGTGTAGCTATGTCCAGTTTCTCATTTTATACTCTTTATTATTAGTATTATTTTTTTATTGAGAGAGTTCTTCATATGTAGCCCAGTCTTGTCTCATATGCACAGTTCTCCCTCGGCCTCCCAAGTGCTGAGATGCATTTCCACAGTTGCTTGAGATTGTACTTCATGCAATTTGTTTATGCCAATTGCAGCTCAGTAAAGCTGGCATTAGTCATCAGATCAAGACTTCAGAAGGTAAGTGGTACTCAGACAAAGTGCTACAAGAGAGAGAGACCATAGAAAGAGCCTTGGAACTAGACTGGATTGCTCACATGGAAAGGCTTGCTTGAGGTACTGAGGGGCTCAGAAAAGGAATGTGTGAGCTGGGACACAGGATGGAGCAGTTGGAAACTGAAACTGAGTTCCAACTGTGTCTTTGGTGACTGAAGGAGCTGAACATGTGTGTCAAGGGCAAAGTTGCAATTAGTCCTGCATATTAAAATCACAGTTGGATCTGTGTGCTCTGCGCTAGTAGGCAGACAATGACACAAAGATGTCATTTATTCTTTCCCTGTGGGCTCCTTTCTGTGGGCGAGCACTCTTCCTGGGCACTTCTCTCGTGTATGTGAGACTTAAGAAACTAAGATTTTAGCTTCCCTTATGCCCTACAGGCAGCGCAGGATAGGATTCTGATTAGTTTTAGTTCAGTGTGCATTCCTTATGCCTGCAGAATTAGCTAGACCACAGCAACAGTCTGTCTCAAGGAGGTCCTTATTGACATCAAGTAGCATTGGTGGGTTGCTAGTAGCATTGAGACTGACTGATTTCCTCACAGAGAAACATGGTTTTGAGATCAAACTATGGAGTCCGGGAGCTAGGCCACACAAGTGCCCAGAGAAGGAATATTTCACTCAAGGGAAAGCCTGGGCTGGGCATGCTCGTTGACCTTTAAATTTGAGAGAATCCTAGAGGAAGGAGAAGGTGCATGGAAGGTGAAGGTCGGGGAGTAAGTGCTGGAGCAGCTACAGGCAGGGGAAGAACATAGACAGACAGACAGACAGACAGACACACGCACACACACACGCACACGCACACGCACGCGCATGCACAGCAGGAAGACAGGGAGGGCTAACGAACAGGGCATCTACTGCAGAAGCCAGACTCTGGCCCAGCTGCTGCTTAGAGCGCCTGTATTTGCTCTGAACACTTACTGAGAAGCGTAAACCCTGCCTCCAGCTTCCTAATCCTGGCTGCCGCCCCTGGAGTTTAGAGACAGTGGCGTGCCTTGCATTTGTGCCTCTGGCTGTCTCGGGGCAGAGTTGAAAACTGAAGAAATCTGAGGCAAAAAAAATCCCGTGGGAGAATGAATTGACTAAACACGGAGCAATACTAGCTTTGGAAGAATTCCACACACAGCAAGACGAGTCTGAACCTTGAGCTACTTCTCTGTGTTGCAGTCTCCACAGGCACCAGGCAGCAGCATGGCTGTCCAGGCAGCTTGTTAGAAATTCGGGTTGCCTAGACTTGAGTCAGGACCTCCCAGCAGGGCCCACGAACCACCTGTGGATTCTAATGTCCCCTCCATCTTGAAGCCCTTTGACCTCTCATTAGGAAGCCCAGTGTGTGTGTGTGTGTGTGTGTGTGTGTGTGTGTGTGTGTGTGTGTGTGTGTGTGTGTGTGTGTGTGTGTTAAGACCCATAATGATGTGATAACTTTGGAAATTGAAAAGCGCTGTTTTCACATGCTGGAGTATTATTTTATTGACTACTTCAGTCAGGGTCTTTTTTTCTTTAATGTATATGTATGTTGCCTATAGCTACACCTGTGCATCACTGTGTGCTTGGTGCCTGTGGAGGCCAGAAAGGAGTACCAGATCCCCTGGAACTGGAGTTACAGATGTTTGTGAGCCACCATGGGGATGCCGGGAGTCGAACCCGGGTCCTCTGAAACTGCACTGGCTGTTCTTAATCTCTAAGCCATCTCTCTAGCCCCTTACTTGGATTTTAGTATTTTGTTTGGGAGACCTTCCCTTATCCTCACTTTCCTTACCCCAAAGAAACCCAAAATCTTACAAGTGAATAGGAGAATTGATTCAAAGACTCTGGGGAGAAAGGAGCGGGCCCAGCTGGGGCTTGCTGGAGAGTGCGGCTTTGTTTTCTCTGGGACTTTGTGTTCAGTTTGTTTCTTTCAGCAGAGAAGCACAAGGCTGATGACTCACATTTACTGTTGAGTCTTAAAATCCAAACTGCAGCTGTCAAAATAAGATGAGTGCCTTTAGGCACTCGGAAAGAAAGGAGATGGTCCCCAAAATGTGGGCTTGGGTTTGGCTTGCCTTTGTAGATCTCTAACCCACGGGTGAGTCTTTGTGTTAGGCAGGCAGAGACCCCAGTGTTGCCAGTGGAGTGAAATCACAGCCGTGGTAAGTCTCTCCTCCTCTTGCTGTGGTAAACAGTTTCTGATGTCTGCATCTTGGCTTAAATAATAGGAGGAACTTTAAAAAACAAAACAACAACAACAAAAAAAAAACCACTAGCGTGCCTAACTGAAGGTGTTCATTTGCTTTAACTCCAAAGGCGAAATTAAGCTGTCATTGGTGTCAATAGCAGGCCCTGTGGCTTGTCTAACGTTCTGAAACATCTATAAAAGCCCTTTGATTAAGCCCTGGGTGGCGTGAGCCAAGCAGCCACAGCCTCTGCCTCAGGCTCCCCTCCTCCGACTAAGGAGATGCACATCCCAAGTTCCCTGGGCTGAGACCCAGCATTAAGATTTGGATATGAATGAAGGGAACTTAAACCCAGGGTGCATGTGACCCTCTGGGGAGACTCATAACACGCCCTTACTAATTGATTTCACCTGCACTTGCAGTCAGCCGGTCCAGTAAAATTCTCCAGGACCAATGAGAGACAAGCTAGTTTTGCTGACCGAAGCTGTGTTCTAATAGTTGCCCCCTGGCAAGGTGGAGCTTGAATTTGGCCAGATCGTTTATTATAAGCTTCAAAATGCCAGTTGTTGCTGTATCTGACCAATTTAGCAAGCCAAACTTAGCCAGAGATACTTTTAAAATATTTTGTAAATGTAATATCCATGTCTGAAGCATCCCTAAGTACCCAATAAAACGAAACTGTCTTCATGGAATTGTGACTTAGGCAAATCTTGTTTTTAAGGTCATGCCTGTGTCATGCAGACCTTTCTCCATCCTGCCTCAAGACAGGAAATGAAGAGACTGGCGTTTGTCACGCCCACTCTGGACCACATGCTTCTCCCTCTGTTATTGGCCCCTTTAACTCTGCACAGACGGTGCTGTGTACACTCCGTTATTTCACATCTTCATGAAAACTGTTTCTTGAAGGCCATTTGCTGAAGTCCCCCAGCTAGGGCCAGGCTTGCTTCCAAAGATGACAGTCCACCTGCTTGCCTCACCCCTGGCTTTCCTGGAGAGACAACTGCCGTGCGCCAGTGGTGACTCCCTCATGGCTGTGTCTACATCATCTCTTCAGGTCTTTACACAAAGTCACCTCAGCAAAACCACTTTTTTCATCACATTGTTTAAAGTGACGCCCTTAAACACTCCTGACTCCCTTACAAGATCGTGTTGTTGGTCCCTCATCAGTGATGTGCTTCTAGATGGAAAGGCTCTTGCTCAGAGTGTCTGCCAATTTCCCTGGTACAAACACTCCCACCATGGCCATTTCAAGCTAGCAGTGTAGCTCGTGGGATGCAGCGTTGGGAAGAAATACTTGTCAACTCTTCTGGATGAGCTGATTCCAGCACACCAGTGAATTCTTTGCTAGACTCTCAGCGTGTAGTGGTAAGGGATTTCCTTCTTTTTTTTTTTTTTTTTTTTTTTTTGGTCTGTTTGATTAACTATTGTTTTCCTTATGCAATGAAAAATTTCCTGAATGAACAAGTAGACTAATTCTGTCATTCACAAACATGCCAGGTACCATGCCAGGTAGTCAAGCTAGAGTGCTGAGTCAAGCGAACACTCACGAGGACGCGTCTGCCCTGGGTGACGGGCAGGAGAGGTTCATGTCACAACAGAGGGAAGCTACAAGGAGGACTAACAAATGCACCTGCAGTCCCCTGGAAAACATGCTTTAAGACGTGTCCTAAGGGATGCATGAGTTAGGTAGGCAAAAAGCACGGAAAGAGGGGTGTGAGCATTTGAGGTAAATAGAGTGGCATGTGCAGAAGTCCTGGGGCAAGAGAAAGCTTCTTTTGAGGCTAAAGAGGACAATTAGACACCAGAAGACCAGGTAACAGATCACCATGATTGTTGAGCTGATGCTGGCTCCTCTTGGCAGGGGAGGTAAGGAACAGTAACAAAGAACACTGTCTTAGGGTTTCTATTGCTGTGAAGAGACACCATGACCACAACAACTCTTATAAAGGAAAACATTTAATTGGGGCTGGCTGACAGTCTCGGAGGTTCAGTCTCTTATCATCATGGTGGGAAACATGGCGGTGTGCAGGCAGATATGGTGTTGGAGATGGAACTAAGAGGTCTACATCTTGATCCACAATCTGCAGGAGGAGTCTGCCACACTGAGTGTAGCTTGAGCAAAGGAGACCTCAAAGCCCACACTCACAGTGACACACTTCCTCCAACAAGGCCATGCCTCCTAATAGTGCCACTCCTTATGGAGGCCATTTTCTTTCAAACACCGCAAGTACTAAAGAGTTGGTTGGATCTGAAGGGCACAGAAGAGGGAGGAACACCCATGACTTCCAAGTTTCTGTGACCATCCTCTGCTAATCTGAAAGGGAAATTAAAGACCAAATTCATGGTTTGATCCAAACACCACAGGAACGCCCACACTTCTGAGTGTTGGTTCAGTCCCTCACTGAGCTTACAGCCCAGGTAAGAAGAATTAATTAGAAACACCCAACAAGTCTGTGTTTGTGTGACACCGATGTGGGTTTATTTATCTATCCAACAAGTACGTGTTGAGCAACTCCAATGTGTCAAGCACTATAATGGGTACAAGGTGAGTAGCAGACAGCTAGACACAGATTCCCTCCCCATGATGACAGCTTTTCTGGTATCTGAAACTAGAGACTGGTGCCTACATGTTCTTGTCCTTGGGGACAGGAGTGTGTTTTGCTGAGAATGGGGAGACGCATAGAGATATGGAGAATTTTGTTTTTAATGTCTCTCACCTTCCCAGGATGTCATTTCTATTAGGGGAAAGGGCTTTGGGAACTTAGAAACATCACTGTTGAAGGCAGGGCATATGGACCTTTGTCACTGTTCCTTCAGCCACGAGCATTTATGAAACACGCACAGGGACAGTACAGAAGGCTCTGAGGAATCGGATGGCACAGGCCAGTTTGTGCTCCACTGTGTCAGGCAGACGGGTGGCCAGCCTTTCCAGCACCAGGGGTAAGCGGTGATGGCTGCAGGACCCAGAGGAAGAAGTCTCTGAGCAGGCTTCTGGAAGAGACGATACTTAACTAAAGTCAGAAGCTGTAGCTGGGATCACCAGACAGAGCAGGCAGAAGGCTGTGCCAGGATAACATGGCCTCTCCCATGCCCCTGAGTGGTTTTATCACCCTTCAGTGAAGTCCATCCAGGCTGCGAGGAACGGGGGAGAAGCTGTTTTTCAAAAGCATAAGGAATTGTCCAAAAACATCTGTACTTGTTTCAAATGGAAGTGATCACTGCCAGGAAAACAAGAAGTCATTTTGCTAGAACCCAGTTTCCATTTATTCCTTGTCTTTGTTTAATTAGATTAATTCCTCAATGATCTCCCTTGGGTCAGTACAAATCACTCATAACCATAAATCCTGACATTCTAAAAACAGTATGAAAGAAAAAGCCACATAGAGCCAACTGGCAAGATCGCTTTCATGGGACAATTCTTTGGGAATGAGAGCTATAATCCTTCCTGGTCCTTCACGTTCCTCATTCTCATGTGTGTCTAGAGAGGAAACAAGGGTGCAGCCATCACTCTGAGACTTATTGCAGAGAGAAAGCTGAGCCGTGGGGTCGCAGTCCTAAGAGGAGTCCGAGCACCTTCCCCTCAGAGGAACATGGGGTTCAGAGATTCTCACCTGCTGCACTCTGGGGGCTTTGAGGACGTTTGGCAAACACTACTGCCAAAACCCTACCCCTGGCTAGTCTGGTTAACTGCAGGGGTGTATCTAGGCATCGGGAAAGAGTATGGGGTGTGCGTGCGTGCATGCGTGCGTGCGTGCGTGTGTATGCCAGAGGCCAGCCTCAGGTGTTGTTCACAGGAAGCATCCACCTTGCTTTCCTTTCCTTTCCTTTTTCCTTCTCTTCCTTTCCTCACTGGGACCTGGAGCTTACCTGTCAGGCTAGGCTGGCTCATTGGTGATCCCAAGGATCCTCCCATCTCTGTCTCCTCAGTGCTGGGATCACAAGCACCACGTGTCTGGGTTTTTACATTGCTTGGCATTGAACTCAGATCCGCAAGCTTAAACAACAGGCATGCTACCCGTCTGAGCATTTTAGAGCCCCAACATCAGTGTTTTTGGAAGGGCTCCAGAAAGTTCTAATAGGCAGTTTGGTTAAGACTGTCCTTCTTGGATAGACAGGGCCACTCTGTCGACCAGACTGGCCTCACAGAGATCTGCCTGCCTCTACCTCCTCTGTGCTGGGATTTGGCTTCAAAATGCTACTTTCAAAAGGTTCTTTTGTGCCAGGTGGTGGTGGCGCACGCCTTTAACCCCAGCACTCGGGAGGCAGAGGCAGGCAGATCTCCGTAAGTTCAAGGCCAGCCTGGTCTACAAAGTGAGTTCCAGGACAGCCAGCTACACAGAGAAACCCTGTCCTGGGGAGGCAGGGAAGGGGGTTCTTTTGTAATATACTAATTTTTCTCCTGTTATAATAAAAGCTCTTCTTAAGAATTTTGAAGCCAGGCAACTGTAAATAAATGAATAAAAGCCCTCATTCCCTCCCCTTCTTGCTCTTCGTGACTAGTATGGGTTCTAGTGACCTGGAGGGGGCCAGGTGACACTTGGAGCAGAGGGAGGGGCTGCAGAAGTGCTTGCCTCCCTGCAGAGAGGCTTAGGAACAGCTCTTGCCAGTGAGCTGGGACCCCATGTCCCCAGCAGCAGGGCTTTATGCAGAGTGCTGGCCACTTGCAAAGGGACTTAGAGTCCAGTAAGGAAGACAGTGACTGCGTCACTGCATGAACACATATACCATTAATACCATGTCTCATCACTGCATGAACACGTATAGCATTAATATCATGACCACATCACTGCATGAACACATATACCGTTAATATGACTGTGTCACTGCATGAACACATATACCGTTAATATCATGACCACATCACTTCATGAACACATATACCGTTAATATGACTGCATCACTCATGAACACATACACCGTTAATATCATGACTGTGTCACTGCATGAACACATACACAGTTAATATGACCGCATCACTGCATGAACACATACACAGTTAATATCATGACCACATCACTGTATGAACATGTACACCGTTAATATCATGATACATGCCAGGGAGGAAGAGAACAGGATTCACAACAGCCAGTGTGGGAGGTCAAAAGCTCTGAACAGCTCAAGCTCCTCATGGCAACAGGCAAACTTCCCATCACCCAACAGGGACACTGAAGCCTGGGACTCAGGACCACATCACTGTTCTCATACAAAGTGATAGTTTTCATTGAGCTGGAAGTCGGATGAGGTCGGTGAGGTCCCCAGAGCTGAGTATCTGTGACGGATGCTGCCAGACACATCACTCGAGCGCACAAAGCAGGGTTTGGATGATCTCTCCTTGAGGGTGGCCCTGTCATCTGTTGAGCGGAGTTCGGACTCCTCGGCTTCCTGGAGGGCTCTCAGCCATCTGGTGTCTGCCACTTGTCAGGGAATTCCCAGAACAGAATCCAACTGCCAAGCCTGTCCTCCGTATCAGCATGTCCCCTCAGTCTCCATTCTCCTCCTTAGACCTGAGCATTTCAATATGTGATAGTGGAGATTTTACTTAATTTTATTTATTTGTTTGTTTGTTTTCTTTTTCCAAGATAGGGTTTCTCTGTGTAACAGTCCTGGCTGTTCTGGAACTTTGTAGACCAGGCTGGCCTTGAACTCACAGAGATCCACCTGCCTCTGCCTTCTGAGTGCTGGGACTAAAGACACATGCTTTATTTTATTTTTTTGAGGGCTCAGCTCAGACTGGAGAGATGGCTCAGGGGTAAAGAATACTGGCTGCTCTTCCAGAGCATCTAGGTTTGACTTCCAGCACCCACAACTGTTGAAACCCCAGTTCTGGAGGATATGATGCCTTCTTCTGGCCTCTTTGGGCACTACATGAATGGATATGGTGCACAGACATACGTGCAGGCAAACATCCATACCCATAAAAATAAAAAGTGAACAAGTGCTCAATTTATTTAATAGATGCTGAGTCAGATCAGTTTTTTTATCTTTTCATTGGTTTAATATGTTTATCTAGAAACACAATACAAAATTCAAAGAACAGGTAGGTGATGTTATATATTTGTGTGTGCACATGTGTGTCCATGTCTGTGGAGGTCAGAGGATACCTTCCTCGTCAGTCCTTAGGCTCCGTGCACCTTTTCTTGGGTGTCTGTCGCCTGCCTGTGCTTCAGGTGGGGGAGGCTAGCTGCCGGAGTGCCAGCCACTCGCCTCTGCCTCCATCTCACTGGCGAGTGCCAGCCGCTCGCCTCTGCCTCCATCTCGCTGCCGGGATGACAAGCCCGCGCCACCATGCTTGGCTTTTCATATGCGTTCTGGGAATCAAACGCAGGTCCTCACGCTGCCAAGATGAGAACTTTGCAGACTGAGCCGTCCCCAGCCCCCGGAGGTGACAGTCAGACCTAGCTGTTAGAGAAGCTGCTTGTGTGGTGAATGATGGCACCCATGGATGTTTGGGTGAGAATAAGTGACGTCCAGGGCTTATCCCTAAACAAGGCTTTCATGAGGCTCGAAGGCCACTGAGCCACTAAGAGTGTCCCCAGAGGACCTGAGTTCAGTTCCTAGCACCATGTCAGGGCTCACAATGGCCTGCAATGCCAGCTCCAGAGGACTGAAACCCTCTATGGGCAGCTATGCTGTGGGCACGTACGAACAGACACACACGGTTAAAAATAAAATCAACCTTTGTTGAATCGGTATAGACTTTTTTTTTCTTTTAACTATACATGAGAGTCAGGACTGACAGCTTTCTGGATAACTAAGTTTTATCCCACTTGATGTGATAAAAAAGGAACTTTTCTTTAATATATTCAGTCCCTTTAATGCTCTCTGACTTTCTCTGGTTTTAATGGCAGGATTGTGGGTAGAGTTGCATGGTAGGTACCTGGCATTCCTTGCCAGGAAACAGCACCATCACATCTGCCAATCTATGCCAAGGAGAGGCTGAGTCAGTGCTGGGCTGAAGGTTCTTTAACCTTTCCATCCTCTTACATATTCCTACACCCATGGCAGGAGACGCATGCCCAAACACACATGCCCACATTGCATGTCAGTGACTAGCTAGCTCAGCACTGTGGAAATGTGGTGACTAGCTGACTCAAACAATCCTCCATCCCTCCCTGTAATCTTTCTTAGCTCCTCTCATGGCATTTGGCTTCTCCATTTTCCTCACCCATTATGGGGATGGATAAGCAGAGTGCATAGAGAACTTCCAAAGACCTCTCCTGTAGTCAGATGGGTAGAGGAAAGGCTGATGGGAGCTTGCCATGTGTCTTAGTCGGTGTTCTAGTGCTGTGAAGAGACACCATGACCACGGCAGCTCTTATAAAGGAAATCATTCATTGGAGCTGGCTTGCAGTTTAGAGGTTTAGTTATGGTGGGAAGCATGGCAACTTAGTGCTGGAGAAGGAGCTAAGAATTCTACATTTTGACTGGCAGGTAGCAGGAGGAGAGAGCACTGGGCCTGGCTTGAGCATCTGAAACCCCTAAGCTTATCCCCAATGACACAGGTCCTCCAACAAATGCCTCCTAATAGTGCCACTCCCTATGACCAAGCATTCAAATCTGTGGGCCTATGGGGCTACTCTTATCCAAACCACCACACCGTTTTCAACAGAGTGGTGAGTCAGTAGCACCCTTGGCTACCTTATCTCACGATGTCAAAGGCTGTGCAAAACGAAGTCATCTTCTGTACACTGGTGAAGCTGTGTTTGCTCAAAGGCTAGGAATGGTCTTTGTGGGAGCATGGAGAAGCTCTTGTTCACAACTCAGCTGTCATGAGCCCTCAAAATATGTTCAAAGTGGTTTTCATAACCACTGGAAAATACAAAATTGATATTATTTCATGAATTTCCATATAATTCCAACTTTGAAAATGGTTTTATCAGCAGGACTGTGGTGGTGCACACCTTTAATCCTGGCACTTGGGAGGCAGAGGCAGTCGGATCTCTGAGTTCGAGGCAAGCCTGGTCTACAGAGTGAGTTCCAAGACAGCCAGAGCTACACAGAGAAACCTTGTCTTGAAAAACAAAAACAAAAAAAGAAAAGAAAAAGTTGTTCTCTACACTAAAATGTATACGATGTCAGCAGGGGTTGCTCTGGGTTATGGGACTACAGGTGGATTTTCCTTTTATGTATTTTAGCCCCTCGATTTTCTACAATGATAATGTATTAAAATGTGTAATGTGATTTAGGTTGCTGTAGTAAGTGTTAAAGAGTTGAACTGCCATGGGCCAGGAGCACTTCTTCTCCAGAGCTATGTGCTAATGGTGCAACTTTGCCTCAGTCCAGGATCTGTGTGCCACAGAGGACCATGGCTGTGAGCAGCTGTGTGTGAACGTGCCGGGTTCCTTCGTCTGCCAGTGCTACAATGGCTACACCCTGGCCGAGGATGGGAAGCGATGTGCGGGTAGGTGTCTCTTTAGTTCCGTGTGCTGA